GGAAAAAAAGGTGGGTTGGGCAAAAAAAAGGAGGTTTGGGGGAAGAAAAAAAGAGGGTTTTGGCAGGAAAAAAAGGGTTTTGGAAAAAAAAGGTTTTTGGAGGGAAAAGGGGATTTAGGAGCAAAAAAAAAGTGTTTTGAGCAAAGAAAAGGTGTTCTGGGCAGAAAAAACAGGGTTTTGGGCCAAAAAGGGGGGTTGGGGGGATAAAGTTGGGTTTGGAGGAGAAATAATTGGGGTTTTGGGGAAAAAAGGTTTTACTGGGGTGAGAAAAAAGGGGGTTCTGGAAGAAAAAATTGGGTTTGGGGCAAAAAAAAGGGGTTAAGGCAAAACAATAGGGTTTAAGGTGGAAAAAATTGGTGTTTGGGCAAAAAACCTGGGGTTTGCGTGAAAAAAATGGGGTTTTGGGGGAAAAAAAAGGATTTTTGGCTGGAAAAATTGGGCTTGGGGCAAAAAAAAATAAGGGTTTAGGGCAAAAAAAAGGGTTTAGGGTGACAAAAAATGGGGTTTCGGAAAAATAATCTGGGTTTTTGGGTAAAAAAACCCTGAAGTTTTGGGTGATAAAAGGGCTTTTTTTGAGGAAAAAGGGGTTCGGGGGAAGAAAGGGGATTTTTTTAGGAAAAAAGGGGGTTTGAGGCAAAAAAAAAGAGGGATTTTAGGGAAAAAATTGGGGTTTGGGCAAAATAATTTGGATTTTTTGGGGAAAAAAGGGGCTTTTTAGGGGAATGAAAAGGGGAATTTTTTTTAGGGAAAAAAGGGGTTTTGAGATAAAAAGGGGGTTCGGGGCCTTACCGTGCTCGGCGCCGCAGCTCCCCGTCTTCCTGTCGCCATCCGCCGCCGTTTCGGGCAGTGCTCGGGCGAAATCGGTCTTGAGGCCGTTGGGGAGAGGGGCGGCCGCACCCTCGCAGGGCCCGTGGTTCCCCTCAGGGTGGTTTTCAGGCACCGATCCATTGGTCCGGGGTGGCGGGAATTCGGGTTTTGGGTCCGAATTCGGGGGTGTTCGCTCGGGCAAACTCTCCACGCGTGTCACCACGAAGATTTTGTGGCCTCGGCCAGGGCTGGACACCGAAATCCTCCTCTCGTTGCCGTGGGACGGGGTCGAATCCTCGGCGCGGGGCGAGGGTGGTGCCTCCTCGAATTTCGGCGTCTCGCTCGAGTTCTGTGTCTCAAACGCCGTGTCCTCGTCCGTGTCCGAATCCGAGTCCGTCCCCTCGCCCCCGGCACCATTTTCCGCCGCCGCCGGGGCCTCCTCCGCCGTTTTCCCGCCTTCTGGCGCTGAGGGGGCGCCGCCATCTTGGATGTCCTCGGTGGGGTTTTCCTCCATGGGCTCCGTGACGGTGATTTCGGGCATGGACGCCGACTGCTGCAGCTTCTGCTCCTTCTCCTCCTTCTCTTTGGCCAGGACGAAGTTGCGCTTGCAGCCGTTTTGGATTTCGGTCAGCAAAGCCTTCTGGGTCTCGATGAAGCTCTTGACCTGCCAAGGAAACCATCAGACATACGGTACTGTGTTGGGTTTTCTGCACCGGGAACGCCAAAACAGGGTGAATTTTCCTCTCTACAATGGATTTAGGGGTGCTTCAATGACCTTAAAGGTAATTTCTGTCCTCTATGATGGACCAATGGTGGATTTGAGGGTGTTTCGATGACCTTAAAGGTCTTTTTGGACTTCTATGATGGTCCAATGTGGGATTTGGGGGTGTTCCAAAGACATTAAAGGTGTTCATGGACCTCTACAATGGTCCAATGGGGGATTTGAGGGTGTTTCGATGACCTTAAAGGTCTTTTTGGACCCCTACGATGGTCCAATGTGGGATTTGGGGGTGCTTCAATGACATTAAAGGTATTTTTGGACCTCTACAATGGTCCGATGTGGGATTTGGGGGTGTTTCAGTGACATTAAAGGTGGTTTTGGACCTCTACAATGGTCCAATGGGGGATTTGAGGGTGTTTCGATGACCTTAAAGGTCTTTTTGGATCCCTACAATGATCCAATGTGGGATTTGAGGGTGTTTCAATGACCTTAAAGGTGTTTTTGGACTCCTACGATGGTCCAATGTGGGATTTGGGGGTGTTTCAGTGACATTAAAGGTGGTTTTGGACCTCTACAATGGTCCAATGGGGGATTTGGGGGTGGTTCAATGACCTTAATGATGGATTTGGGGGTGTTTTGATGACCTTAAAGGTCTTTTTGGACCCCTAAAACGATCCAATGTTGTTGGGTTTTCTGCACCGGGAACGCCAAAACGGGGTGAATTTTCCTCTCTACAATGGATTTGGGGGTGTTTCGATGACTTTAATGGTGGATTTAGGGGTGTTTCGATGACCTTAAAGGTAATTTCTGTCCTCTACGATGGACCAATGGTGGATTTGAGGGTGTTTTGATGACCTTAAAGGTCTTTTTTGGATCTCTATGATGGTCCAATGGGAAATCTGGGGGTATTCCGAAGACATTAAAGGTGTTTATGGACCTCTACAATGGTCCAATGGGGGATCTGGGGGTGGTTCAATGACCTTAATGATGGATTTGGGGGTGTTTCGATGACCTTAAAGGTCTTTTTTGGACCTCTATGATGGTCCCAATGGGAAATCTGGGAGTATTCCGAAGACATTAAAGGTGTTTATGGACCTCTACAATCGTCCAATGGGGGATTTGGGGGTGGTTCAATGACCTTAATGATGGATTTGGGGGTGTTTCAGTGACATTAAACGTTTTTGGGCCTCTACGATGGACCAATGGTGGATTTGAGGGTGTTTCGATGACCTTAAAGGTCTTTTTGGACCCCTACAATGATCCAATGTGGGATGTGCGAGTGTTTCAATGACATTAAAGGTGTTTTTGGACCTCTATAATGACCCAATGGGGGATCTGGGGGTGGTTTTATAACCTTAATGGTGGATTTGGGGGTGTTCCAATGACCTCAAAGGTCATTTTAGACCTCTATGATGGCCCAATGGGAATTTGGGGGTGCTTCAATGGTTGGATTCAATGACCTTAAAGACCTTCTCGGACCTCTACGATGGTCCAATGAGACTCAAGAACCAATGCCACTCAATGCCACTCAATGAGACCCAACGTCACCCAATGAGACCCACCCAACGAGACCCAATGCCACCAAATGAGACCCAACGCCACCCAACGAGACCCAATGAGCCCCAATGCCACCCAAGGCATCACCCACCGACTCCTTCTTGGGCTCCCTGTCCAGGTCGAGGCGCAGCAGCGAGTGGTTGACCTTCAGTGCCAAGGACAGGGCCATGAGGCCGCCCGTCTTGATCTCGTTCTCCCGCAGGTCCAGGCGCAGCAGCCGCGGGCTCTCGGCGATGAACTCGGCCACCGCCACGGCGCCTGCGAGGGATGGGAGAGGCGGCGGTGACATCGGGGACACCGTTTGGTCCCTGTGGTGGTGCTGCTGGGGTGGCTGGCGGTGGTGTTTTGGGAGGGAGACGGGGGGTGACGGTGGGAGTTGGGCACTCAATGAGAAGGGTTTTGGTGGCATGGAGGAGACGTCGGAGGCACCAAACCCATGGGATGAAGTGGCTTTGGGGACATCAATTGGGGCGTTTGGGGTAGAACTGGGCTGTGTCCCTCTCAAAAGCCCCATGTGGGGCTAACATGGGCTGGAACAAGGCCCCATCTCAAGGTCCAAGGCCCCTCCTGGAGGACCAAGGCCCCTTTTGGAGGACAGAGATGCCTCCTGGAGGACCAAGGCCCATTGTGGAGGACAGAGACCTCTCCTGGAGGTCTAAGGCCCAACCTGGAGGTCCAAGACCCCTCCTGGAGGACCAAGACCCCTCTTGGAAGGTCCAAAGTCCCTCTTGGAGGACCAAGACCCCTCCTGGAGGACCAAGGCCCCTTTTGGAGGACAGAGACCTCTCCTGGAGGTCCAAGGCCCAACCTGGAGGTCCAAGACCTCTCCTGGAGGACCAAGTCACCTCCTGGAGAACCAAGACTCCACCTAGAGGACCAAGACCCAACCTGGAGGTCCAAGACAACTCATGGAGGACCAAGCCCCATCCTGGAGGTCCAAAGCCCCTCCTGGAGGACAGAGACCCCTCCTGAAGGACCAAGACCCCTCCTCAAGATCCAAGACCCCTTTTGGAGAACCAAGACCCCTCCTGGAGGTCCAAGACCACTTCTGGAGGTCCAAGGCTTCTCGTGGAGGACCAAGCCCCCTCCTCAAGATCCAAGACTCTTCTTGGACGACCAAGACCCCTCGTGGAGGACCCGAGCGGCCAGCACCCACCTTCGCATGTCAGTTTGGTGGAGGCCAAGCCCAGGCGCAGGACGGAGCGGTTACCGATGAGGCCGCTCTTCAGGTTGCGGACGCCTTCGTTGCCGATGGGGTTGTGTCCCAGATTCAAGGTCTCCAAGCTCTGCGTGTGAGGCTGTGCGGGTGGAAAACAACAGCTCGAGGAGGCCTGGACGGTGAATGTGGGGGGTCAACGCCATCGGGGATCCCCAAGGGCGGCCACAACGGCGCCGGGATCAACTCACCAGCGTCATCCCCAGGTAGGCCATGCCGGTGTGCGTCAGTTGGTTGTTCCACAAAACCAGGGTGACCAAACCTTTGCGTTGCTCCTTCAGCCCCTCGCAGATGTAGGCCAGGCCTGGAAAACAGCCGAAATTCAGCCGGCGTGGTCGGCGTCCACCGCGTTTTCCCAGCATCCTTGGGTGCATCAGGATGGACGGGGAAGAGCCACGGTGGCGTCACGTCGAGTACCGGTAAATCGCGTCGTTGCCGGGGCAATTAAACCCCTTGGTAATTAAATACCTTGGCAATTAAACCTCTTGGCAAATGAATATCTTGGCAATTAAATATCTTGGCAGTTAAATCTTTTGGCAATTAAACCTCTCGTCAATCTATCAATCCTCTCCTCAATTAATTAATCAACCTCTCGCCAATCAATTAAACCTCTTGCCAAATAAAACTCTTCCTAATCAATCAAACCTCTCGCCAACTAATTAAACCTCTCACCAATTAAATCTCCTGGCAATTAAACCTCTCACCAATCAACCAAACCTCTCATCAATTAATCAATCCCCTCGTCAATTAATTAATCAAACCTCTCGCTAATCAATCAAACCTCTCCCCAGTTAAATCTCTCGATAATCAATTAAACCTCTTGCCAATCAATTAAACCTCTTGCCAATCAATTAAACCTCTGGCCAATCAATTAAACCTCTGGCCAATCAATTAAACCTCTGGCCAATCAAACCTCTTACCAATTAATTAAACCTCTCACTAATCAATCAAACCTCTTGCCAATCAAACCTCTTGCTAATCAATCAAACCTCTTGCTAATTAAATGTCTCGCCAATCAATCAAACCTCTCACCAATTAAATCTCTTGCCAATCAATCAGATCTCTTGCCAATTAATTAATCCTCTCGCTAATCAATCAAATCTTTGCCAATCAATTAAACCTCTTGCCAACAGAATATCTTCATTAGTGAACTAATTAGGGCCAGGAGCTCCCTGATGACACCAGAATGAGTGGGGTTGGTGACGCTCCACAAGGGACAGCCACCCCCATGCGTCAGTGAGGATGAGGGGGCTCCACGGGGCGATCTCGATCAATATTGAGAGCCACGTTCAGTATTGGAGAGAGGGGCATTGTGGGAAGGGACCTGGGGGTCCAGGGGGATGCCCTATGGAGAAAGGCTGAGAAAAGTGGATTTATTCAGCCTTGGGAAGAGAAGGCTCAGGGGGGACCTCATTACCGTGTACCAGGACATAAAGGGTGGCCACCAAGAGGATGGAGACTCCCTTTTCACAGGGAGCACAGGGAAAAGGCCACAGAGGGGTCACGGACATGAGGTGCTGCTGGGGAGATCCCGATTGGACTCCAGAAGAAGATTTGTGACCATGAGATCGATCAGAAATTGGGATAATCCAGCCATGAGAAATGGGAATAATCTATCAGTTAAATATTGGGGTGATCTATCAATGAGACATTGGGATAATCTCTCATGTATTGGGATAATCTCTCAATTAAATATTGGGATAATCTCTCAATTAGAAATTGGGATAATATCTTAATTAGATATTGGGATAATCTATCAATTAGACATGGGGATAATCTATCAGTTAAATATTGGGATAATTGCTCAATCAAAAATTGGAATAATCTCTCAGGTAGACATTGGGATGATCTATCAATGAGACATTGAGATAATGCATCAATTAGACATTGGAATAATCTATCAGTTAACTATTGGGATAATCTATCAATTAGCAATTGGATTAATCTGTCAGAAATTGGGATAACCTGTCAATGAGACATTGGGATAATCTGTCAATGAGACATTGGGATAATCTGTCAATGAGACATTGGGATAATCTATCAACCAGAAATGGGAATAATCTATCAATTAAATATTGAAATAATCTATCAATGAGACATTGGGATAATCTATCAACCAGAAATGGGAATAATCTATCAATTAAATATTGAAATAATCTATAAATTAGACATTGGGATAATCTATCAACCAGAAATGGGAATAATCTATCAATGAGATGTTGGAATAATCCATCAATGAGACACTGGAATAATCTGTCAATTAAATATTGGGATAATCTATCAATGAGGCATAGGGATAATCTGTCATGTATTGGGATAATCTATCAATTAAATATTGAGATAATCCATCATGTGTTGGGATAATCTATCAATTAAAAATTGGATTAATCTATCAATCAGAAATTGGGATAATCTCTCAATGAGATATTGGGATAATCCATCAATGAGACACTGGGATAATCCATCAGTTAAACATTGGATTAATTTATCAATGAGCTATTGGGATAATCTATTAATCAGAAATTGGGATAATCTATCAATAAGACATAGGGATAATCTATCAATTGGAAATTGGGATAATCAATCAATGAATTATTGCAATAACCTTATCAATTAAATATTGGGATAACCTGTCAATCAGAATTGGAATAAACTAGCAATTAGAAACTGGGAAAATCTATCCATTAGACATTGGAATAATCCATCAATCACACACTGGAATAATTTATCCATTAGAAAGTGGAATAATCTATCAATGAAATATTGGGCTAATCAAGCAATGAGATATTTGGATAATCTATCAATTGGAAATTGAGCTAATCTATCAATTAGCAATTAAATGTTGGAATAATGTATTAATTGAGAAATTGGGATAATCTGTCAGCTAAATATTGGAATAATATATTAATGAGACATTGGGATAATCCATCAATCAAATATTGGGATGATCTATCAAGCAGAAATTGGAATAATCTATCAATTAGAAATTGGGATAATCCATCAATCACACAGTAGAATAATCTATCAATCAGAAATTAGGATAATCTATCAATTAACTATTGGGATAATCGATCAATGAGACAATGGGATAATCTATCAGTGAGACAATGGGATAATCTATCAATGAGACAATGGGATAATCTATCAACTAAAAATGGGAATAATCCATCAATGAGATATTGAGATAATCCATCAATGAGAAATTGGGATAATCCATCAATGAGAAACTGGGATAATCTATGAATCACATAGTGGGATAATCTTTCTAATAGAAACTGGGATAATCTATCAATTAAATAATGGAATAATTTACCAAATAGAAATTAGGATGATCTATCAATGAAAAATTAGGGTAATCCATCAATTAGCAATGGGAATAATCTATCCAGGAGAAATTGGGATAATCTATGGATCAGAAATTTGAATAATCTATGAATTAAATATTGGAATAACCTACTAAATATTGGGATAATCTATCAATTAAATATTGGGATAATCTATCAATTAAATATTGGGACAATCTATTAAATATTGGGACAATCTATTAAATACTGGGACAATCTATCAATTAAATATTGGAATAATTTATTGAATACTGGGATAATCTATCAATTAAATATTGGAATAATCTATTGAATACTGGGATAATCTATTAAATATGGGGATAATCTATCAATTAAATATGGGAATAATCTATTAAATATTGGGATAATCTATCAATTAAATATTGGAATAACCTATTTAATATTGGGATAATCTATCAATTAAATATTGGAATAATCTAGCACTAAGACATTGGAATAATCACTTAGACACTGGGATAATCTCTCCATTACACATAGGGATAATCTGTCCCTCAGAAATTAAGATAATTTATCGATCAAACATTGGGATAATCCATCAATCACACACTGGAATGATCCATCAATCAGAAATTGGGATAATCCACCAATGAGACATTGGGATAATCTATGAATCAGAAACTGGAATAATCTATCAATTAAATATTGGGATAATCAATCAACTAGAAATTAGGATAATTAGGTTGATAATGAGGTTTGGCCACTCATTTGGCTCTGAGGAGGGTAGAAAATCAAGAGGGAGGAGCAAGAGATGGAGCAGCCCAGCTCCTCCCTGCCTGAAATTTGGGTGAAAACTTGGGGAAATTGGGGAATTTCTCCCCCGAGGGGGCACTCACCTGAGTCCAGGACGTGGTTGTTCCTCAGGTCGAGGATTTGGATGTAGCAGTTGAACTTGAGGAGGTTCCCAAGCTGCGCCGAGTCCTGCAGCCCGTTGAGTTTGTTGTCGGCCAGGTAGAGCTCCCGTAAGTTCATGTTCATCTTCAGCGCCGTGGCTGGGAAGGCCGAAAAGAAACCCCCCAAAAAAATCTCACTTACGGGGTCGTTACGGGTGGGGAAGATCCCCAAGAGCAAGGCCAAGGTCAACCCAACCCCACCACGTCCCCAAGTGCCACATCCACCCCCCTCCCAGTGCTCCACCACTCTCCCAGTAAAGAAATCCCTCCCAAAATCCAATTGAACCCCCAAATTTGGGTCCTCCAGACCCCTCCCCATGGCCACACTCCACCCCTCAATGTCCTTCTTGGGGTGAAGGACCCCAAAATGAACCCAGGATTCGAGGGGCGGCCTCAAAGGATCCTGCCCTGGTCCTGCTGGCCACACCATGGCTGGTGGTGGCCACCTTGGTGGCTCCTGTTCAGCCCAGTATGGACCAGTATCCCCAGTTCCTCTCCTCAGTTGTTCCTCCCCATGCATGGGGTTGCTCTGGCCCAAGTGTAGGCCCCAACTCTTGGCCTTGTTGAACCCAAGCCATGGTTCATCCATCCCAAGATGGATTTTGGGAGGGATTTCCTTACTGGGAGAGTGGTGGAGCACTGGGAGGGCGGTGGTGGAGTCCCCATCACTGGAGGGGTCAAAAAATCGCGTGGATGTGGCACTTGGGGACGCGTTTTGGTGGCCATGGTGGGGTTGGGTTGACGTTGGCCTTGATGCTCTTTGAGGCCTACTCCAACCTCAAGGATTCAATGATTTTTGGACCCCTCCAGTGACCCCACCACTGCCCTGGGCAGCCCTTCCCAGTGCTCCACCACTCTCCCAGTAAAGAAATTCCTCCCCAAATCCAGTTTAACCTCCCCTTGATGCAACTTGAAGCCGTTTCCTCTCATCCCATCGCTTGTTTTTTGGCATCGCTGGGCCATGAGGTTCAACAAGGCCGAGGGTTGGGGCCTACACTTGGGCCACAACAACCCCAGGAGTGGAGAGGAGCAACTGGGGAGAGGAACTGGGGGTTACTGGTCCATACTGGGCTGAATAGGAGCCACTGGTGTGGCCAAGGTGGCCAAAAACGCCATGAAAGGAGGGAATAGCGAGGTGGGGGTGGTGTCCTCTACCAGGGGATGAGAGGATAAGGCCTCAAGTTGCACCAGGGTGGGGTTAAACTGGATTTCGGGTGGAAATTCCTTACTGGGAGAGCGGTCGAGCACTGGGAGGGGCTGCCCAGGGCAGTGACGGAGCCCCCATCCCCGGAGGTGTCCAAAAACCGCGTGGAGGTGGCACCTGGGGACACGGTTTAGTGGTGGCCTCTGTGGTTGGGCCTCGATGGTCTCCAAGGCCTCTTCCAACCCAATAATTCAATGATTCCCAAAATTTTCCACGTGGAACCGAGCAATTCCCAAAATTCCCCTGTCCTGGGGCTCCCCACCTTGACCATTTCCCATCTTTTCCCCCCAAAAAAACCCCACCTGAGGTAGTTATTGGTGAATAAATCACCATTAAGGCCTTGGAGGAGTCAGAAAAATCCTACTTTTTCCCAAAAAAACCCCTACTTTTCCTTTTATTTCCCTTCCTCTTGGTGCTTTCCAGCCCTCCAGGCCTCTCCATTTAATTTTTATTTCATTATTTGGAACATTTCTACCTTTCAATTTGAATTTTCAGGTGGTTTTGGGTCTGGCTCTGCTTTCCACTCCTCTCCCTGCCATAATTTTGGGTGTTTTTACCCCTGTGTTTTTTAATTTTTGGGTCATTTTGGGGCTGGGATCTCCCTTTCACTTCCACTCCTACAATAATAACTTCTCTCAATAATAATAAATCCATAATTTCTATAAATAATAACCAACTTCTACCCAAACTCACCTGGATTCAGGGCTTTTCTGGGCCCACATTTGCCTTCAGGCCCCATTTTTCCCTCCTTTCCTCACCACTCTCAAACAATCCCAGGCTTCATTTGAGTTATTTTCTACAGAAAAATCCCTTTTTTCCCCAGAAAACCCAGTTTTTCCTCTCATTTCCCTTCCTCTTGGTGCTTTCCAGCCCTCCAGGCCTCTCCACTCAATTTTTATTTTATTATCTGGGGCATTTCGACCCTTGTTTTTTTAATTTTTGGGCCATTTTGGGGCTGGGATCTCCCTTTCACTTCTACTCCTACAATAATAATTTCTAAAAATAATAATAACTCTATAATTTCTATAAATAATAACCAATTCCTACCCAAACTCACCTGGATTCAGGGCTTTTCTGGGCCCACATTTGCCTTCAGGCCCCATTTTTCCCTCCTTTCCTCACCACTCTCAAACAATCCCAGGCTTCATTTGAGTTATTTTCTACAGAAAAGTCCCTTTTTTCCCCCAAAAATCCATTTTTTCCTCTTATTTCCTTTCGCTTTGGTGCCTCCCAGCCCTCCAGGCCTTCGTTTAGCGGCGGCCATATTGGACTCTCCGGCCTTCAAGGCCTCTTCCCTCCCAAATACCTCCATGATTTTACCACACCTTTTTGGGGACACCAAACCCAACACCCACTCCAAAGCATTCTGGGACATGGGGTGGGGTGTCCCCCCTCCCCCCAAATTCGTTAACTCACCCAAAAGCATAAGCGGGCGCCCCGAAAGGCTGGCGTTCTCCAAGTGCAGCACCACCAGGCTGCTGCTGATCCGCAAGGCCCGGGCCACGAAAGGGGCCGAGTGGTCCAGCAGGGGCGTATTTCGGGCGTCCAAATACTGCAGGCAGTTGGTCTGTGAGGAAAACACCACCAAAAAAAATCAACGTTTAGCCCCAAAATATTGCTATTTGAGGCCAAATTTACAGCCTTCATAGACCAAATCCCACCCCGGCCTACTACGCCGCCGCCTCAAGTCAGAGCCCTCGCGATGATTTAGGCCCATCCGAAATACCGTGATGCTCAACCACAGACTTAATACATGAGATGAAAACTTAAATAATTGGGACAGACCACCAAATTCCACTTAAAATCCCTTTTTTTGGTGAAAAACTGCCTGCAAAAATGAGTCCCCGAGCGCCGCCGCCATCGCGGTTGCCGAATATCAGCCTAAGTTGGGTGGATTTTCCCACTTTCTGCGCTAAAATGGGCCCTTTTGTACCTCTAAATTGTCCCCAGAATTAAAAAAACCCGACCCGTAGCCATCCCTAAGGGGATTTGGAGCTCAACGGGAGTTGCGCAAGGCCCCAGAGTAAATAAGAAACCATAAATCATCACGCGAAATGAAAACGAGCCGGTCGGGAGCTAATGACGGCTGTGGGGCGGCTTCCTTAACGAGGTTAATTAACGTCAGCAAAGCCCAACGCGGGCGCTCGTCATCAAAATAATGAGTGAGACGTTGACCTCTGCTAATAACAACCCGCTGCGATTTGATTTAATTCCATTTATTTTTCGGCTGGGATCTGCGTTTCCCTTTTTGTCCGCAGGATTTTGGGGGTTTTTCTCGCCTCCGAGTCACGGTTTGGGTTGGAATTGACCTTAAAGTCCTCCCCCCTGCCATGGGGGGACACCCAAAATCAGCCCAGGTTGCCCAAAGCCTTGGGTGCCGCCAGGGTGGGGGCACCCACAGCTTCCCTGG